CTCATTTATAGGAAGCTCCTCAAACTTGGCCATATATTCCGCCTCAATTCTATCCATGTTGAAAACACCAAATTAGATCTGCTAAACGACGAACTGTAACGATTATTAGCCTGGGAAGTGATGTTACTTCTACAGCTGACAGTCTTACAAGTCGTCATTGCTTTATTTATAATTATAATTGTTTTTGTTTTTATTATCAAACAATAATTAGCTATTAATTATTATTCATTATGATTATTATTCATTATGATGACATAGGCTGCTACAGCAGCTGCAGCTCCACCTGAAGCCATAGTAGTTGAAAACAAGTCTGGTATACACGAGGTTCCTGACCCTCCGTTTTCGCAAGGTCAGGCCACGCCTGACCTACTTTCTAACAGCAAGAGAGCATAGAGATACTGTCTAAAGACTTCTCTAGAAGCATTATAAGGTAGAGAGAGCCTCTATAAGTCTTAATAATGACCAAGTTGTACTTGCAAGGTGGTGAAATCAATTATAGGTACTATCATATATATAGGCTTACTATCAGTATGATACGGAGGAATCCAATTGGCTCCAAAAGGATCCTAAGGTTAATGGATATCTTTTGACCTATTTTGATGTCTCCTAGTTTCTCTAGCGTTCCTCTAGCTCCACTGAGCCTCCCACCATCTTGCACTTGCCCTTCAGACATTATGAAACCAAACTAGCTTTGCTTGATGATTTTGTGGGGCGTAAATAAAGATAGAACCATAGATAAAACTAAGAAAAACACTGGGGGTGTGGCGTCACGCCCATTTTGATCACATGTCAGTTTTTAATATACATCCACAATATGGAGATACACTGGAGAGCTCCTCTTCAACTGAAAGGTTTCTTGAAGATCGTTGAAATGGTAACTTAGTGTCTTTGTATGTGTCTTTGTGAACTATTTGAGTGTGTAATATACGGGTTAAGCTTAATGGTTAGATGATACTAAGGATAGATGTACATGTACATGTTTATTCTTAAATGTATACATATTATATATAGAATTTTACAGTGTACAGTATGTATCTTTACGTGTATAAGGAATAATTTTTAAGCTTTACTAATTGCAATAATTAACTACCGTACAGCTGGTTAATTTTGCGGAGAAAAATTTTGCGAATCCTTAAAAATAACCTGGTTTGCGGATTAAATATTTGCGGTTTTGACAGTTATTGTAGCATTATCTACTGTGGTAATGCATGAATTTCATTATTTTGCGGATTTAAATTTTGCGCTTTAAATGGAATCGCAAACTCGCAAAATTTAATTCCCCGCAAATATTTCCTGCTGTACGGTATAAACTATAATGCACTTATGTTGTCTGCCAATTTTCGTGTTAGCCAATTTTTTAAACGAGTACATATTGAATTTCGGGCTACAAGGCATTTCCATGTGTATATTCTTTTATTCTGTACAGATAATAGCTTTATTGGCTTTATCATTGGTGGCTGGTTTTACTGCAACTAATAGGGCTGAGTGCAATTGGTGGAATGGAACCAAAGGTAAATTACGTGTATTAAGTTTTTGATCTTATTCCAGTCAAATTTGGATTTAAAAAAAATTTTTATAGTTGCTCAAAATTTTCGTCAAAGGCCATGTGTGTACATGGTATTTTGTCAAAAATTTTAAGGAAGAAATTTAATAATTTTAAAAGTTCCTTTTATACAATAGAGCTGGATTTCTCATACAAAGCATGCCAAGTGAAGTAAAAAGCATGAGCTTCATATGAGCTGACAAGCTTTATGGCATATGGAGCAACTTCAAAAATTCATAAAAAATCCATTCTTGATCCGAATCAGCTCAAACTTTCTACACAACTTAAGTACATGTATATGCATCAGAATATGGTATAAAAATGGAGAATTCTCTCCTTTTTAATTTTGGTGAAATTTGGCCCGAGGTATAGTACAGGGATTTTTACCCAATTTTGGAGCAACTTTAAAAATTTGTAAAAAAAATCTAATTTTCATTGAAATCAGCTCAAACTTTCTACACAATATAAGAACATGTATATGCATCAGAATAATATTATAAAAATGGAGAATTCTCAACTTTTTAATTTTTGCAAAATTCGGCCCAAGACCATGTACAGGGACTTTAACCAGATTTTTGGACAACTTTAAAAATTTATAAAAAAAATTATGTTATACTGTATAATAGTCTGTTTTTCTTTCTGATCATTGCAGTTTGCCAGATAACTGCCAAGGCCAGTTATCCCTATACAATAGTCAATGTTACTTACCAACCATCTTGTGAGGCTAATGCAACATCTGATGTTCTTAGTGGCGACTATAAGCAAGCAGCAGAGTTCTTTGTGGCCTGGGGCTCCCTGACTCTATTCTATGGGATCATTGCTATACTAGTGTACATGTTTGCTACTGCTAACAGCAAGTGGGAGTGGGTTATCAACTACCTCATTTTGGTGGTGAGTTATCAACCATTTCTAACACACTGAGTGATTGTTCTTAGAAACTATAAATTTGGTTCTCAATTATTATTCCATGCTCTAGTACATGTACATATTGATCTCCTTATGCTACATTATCTGTGTAAATTAAAATTTAATCATTTACCATTGCTTTCAAAATTTTATGTCCATGTGTTGTTATTGTTATTATTATTATTATTATTATTATTATTATTATTATTATCATCCTAGGATCTGGTATTTCATGTTGTTTGGGTTCTCTGTTGGTTTATAGCATCAGTCGAATGGGCTGTTGTTCAAAACGAAATGAAAAGCTACATCAAGACTAAAGTCATCCATGATAAATATCTGGCAAATAGTTGTAACGATACAACATACAATGAACCAGGATCTTATGCCCAGGCTGCCATTGCTGATTTTAGTTTTATTATTATTTTTAATAACGTTCGTGTCAATATTAATGCAGCAGTTTTTTTGGATGTACATGTACAGTATAGCCTTTATATAATGGACACTTGAAAGTGTCTCTGTTATACAGAGGTGTCCTTTATGTGGAGGTTATTTTATACAGTAAGGAATGTAATTGGTACACTAGGTGCTGTCCATTAAATGGAGGTGTACGCTATAGAGAGTGTCCATTAAAAGAGGCTATAATATGGGAGCTTTCCTGGCATTTAGTGCTACCTTTGTAGCTGTCCAAATTACCTGTGATTTTGTACAAGTCATTATAATTATTGTTATTCTTTTACTTTGATATGTAGGTATTTGGTTTTACAAGTATTGTTCTGTGGGGTGTTAATATATTCTGGGTGGTCATTGACACCAGTTTCTACTTGCAATGGAAAGCAAAGCGAAGCAGCTCTGGAGAATACAATCAAATATGAAGGAACTTACTTTTTTGATATCATTGTGTTTGATAGGTTATTATTGGGAAAAGAAAAGACTGTCTGTTGTGTTTTGCTAATTTTGAGTGACCTTTGTTTAAAATTTTTTGAATATTGTTAAGGTCTATTATACTCTCTTCCTATCTCATGGATAATGTCTCACAATTGTTGCATTGTCACGCAGTGTGGTAAGGCCTGGTTTCCATATAACCATACAACAGTCTTACAACACTAGTTACAACATGGAGATAGAAATCAGGTTTATCTCGAGCTACAATAGTGTCTCGCGTAGCGAGGGTGGGTCTTGCTACGCGAGCTAGCTGAGACTATAGCTACAACCATAGATACTACATACAACAGTTGTATGCTAACCACAGAATCCATACAACAGCCACAGCTATATCGAGACCAGGCTTGATAAGATTAAAGATCTATATTATAATCTTGATTACTTCACTCTTCGCCATTTACATCATGAGCAACGGTCCAGAACAGGGACAGCAGCAAGAAGCTCTAGAATTTCAAGAGACTGAAGACACAGCACCTCGCACAACACAAATGAATTCTAACGATAATATTGAATTCGCCGTTTTTGATGAGTACAAGGACAGGCTTGCTGATAATCTGGTCTTCTCACTTTCAGATCTAGCATTACGAGCAGCAGGGAAAAAGTTGATAGCTAGTGCAGCCGCAGTATCAGCTGACAAAGTGGGGAAGACTACCACACAGAAAGAAAGAGCAACTTTTCTGATAGATATGGTAATGAGTAAGATGGATAAGAATTTTCAAGAAGCTCCTGGCGTTATGAAAAAATTTCTTGAAAGCATTGATGAACATGCACACCTCCATAAATTCCTCAGTAAGTATCTAAAGACCTATATATAGATGACCTATTTATCATAATATTGTGCACAATAGAGGAAAAATACGAGGAAGAGATTAGAAATCAGACGAGGCGTAGACAGCCTGAAAAGGAACTCCTCAAAAGCCGACAGGCAGAAATTGCCTCAAACTTGGAATATAGCTTAGACCGTGTTGCTGGGAAACTGCTGGCATCTGATATCATCATGTCTGCAGAACACAAAGTCTTGGTCAACCCTGCAGCTAAATTCGAAGATCTAGCTATCTATGAAGTACTGACCGAGATTGGTGTATCAATCAAAACTGACGAAAAAAATTTTCAAGTCTTTGTTGATGATGTTCTTGAAGAGATTGGAGGACCTGCAGAAACTCTTGCAAAGAAAATGAGTAAGTGTATTCAATGGACCTTTTGCACTTAAGCGATTCTAATTAACGCGCACCCAAAGTAGTGGTAAAATGGCGGATTTTTGGAGGAAAGACATGCTGAACAATCTTCTCTTTTATCCAGCCATTCTAGCTGTAGGAGCCACTTTAAGCTGTCCTTTTGTTTCAGTATACTCTATTTATCTCTTCTGTAAGCTCTTTGGTTGCTGTTTTGGCTTTTATAGCATTTTATCATAGGAATATTCTCACCCATTGGCGATTCCCGTTTTTCTAAATTTTGCTTTCAGGAGCCAAGGCGCTTGCCCCTCCATTGCCATGAAGACAGAAGTGTATTCAGCTGAGTCCTATGAATAGTGTCTATCATCAGACTTAGTCTCAGTCCATCAGAACCAGGTACGGTGGAATAACTCACTCAGTTGTCATGTTGCAGCTGGAGTGTGGATGATTATGACCATCTTTTCACTTCTTAAAACTATAGGTTGACTCTTTTATAGATAGTTGAGGCATGCAAGAGCTCATTCTTTATCTGTACATTCACTGGTTGTATTGTATGAGCACCTCATGTCATATTAATACCCTGTGTCGCTATCCAATACTTGCAGAGAGGAATCATCACATTCAGGACTCGTTCATGGCTCTAAACCATTTGTATCCTCTCCCAACAGTTTTACTTATTATTTAAATTATAAAAAAACATTATGGGTGTTGTTGCTAGAACTATTATTGTTGTTATCACTAGGTCACTATATTGCATTTGTATAGACGACTATTTATGTATTTACTCATACTTTTATGATATTAACAGTATATACACAATAATTAGAAACTATTTTGACGATAACAAAGATAATT